CCAAGGCCTCTTTCCTTCACTGAGTTGTCTGATATTTTGTTAAAGTCCACCATATTGAATGTGTTTGTAAGTTACTTTTGTTTGGATTTCCTGGCAACGGATGAGGCAAAATATATTACTGCAAACCCTGCCAGAGTTATCACCCGAGAAGGTATTTTGCTACAGTTAACTGACGCCTGTTGAGGTCTCACTTGCGGGCAAAGGCATTCCCACGATTATATTAGAAATGCTCATTCATTCATGATCTATGATGATCACGTACAAAAGGGTCTATTCCCACCGAAGGCTTTCCTAAGTCTTTCACATTCACAGGCTTTAGCTTAGAATACACTTTGTAGACATAAGGATGTCCTAAAAATACTCTCAAGGCCGACTGTATGTGAGTCATATTGTAAATTCTCCCATCAACATAAAATACGAGGTAATTGATCACTAAAGATAAATACCACATTGCTCTTCTCCACTGAATACTATTATCTTGAGGGTCTACAACTGGGTCCTGAAGTGACTACCTGTGAGTCCTCTTATGCTTAACAAGGATTGACAGGTGGGCAAAAGCCTTCCCACATTCGCTGCATCCATAGGGCCTCTCTCCTGTGTGTTTCCTTTGATGAACGTTGAGCCCCGACTTTGTAGTGAAGGCTTTCCCACACGCGCTGCACTCATACGGCTTCTCTCCTGTGTGAATCCTCTGATGGGTAATGAGGTCATTTTTGCGCAAAGAGAATTTCCCACATTCAGTGCATTCGAAGGAAGTCCTTCCCGTGTGGAACCTCTGATGCTGTATGAGGCACGTCTTCTTCCTAAAGGCTTTACCGCATGCGTCGCACTTGTATGGCTCCTCTCCAGTGTGAGTTTGCTGATGGATACCTAGGGTGCTCTTCATGGTGAAGCCCTTCCCACATTCACTACATATATATGGTTTCTCTCCTGTATGAGTTCGCAGATGTGCAATCAGCATGCTTTTCCCAGTTAAGCCTTTGCCACATTCACTGCACACGTAGGGTCTCTCTCCAGTGTGAGTGCGCCGATGTACGTTGAGATGGCTCTTCTCCGTGAAGCCTTTCCCACACTCACTGCATATATAGGGTTTCTCTCCTGTGTGAGTTCGCTGGTGTCCAATCAGCCGGATCTTTGCCGGGAAGCCTTTTCCGCATTTGCTGCACACGTAGGGTTTCTCGCCCGTGTGGGTTCGCTGGTGCACAATCAGGCGGCTCTTCACGGTGAAGCCTTTCCCACAGTCACCGCACGCGTAGGGCTTCTCGGCCGTGTGCGTCCGCTGATGTACGATGAGGTCGCTCTTCATGGTGAAGCCTTTTCCGCATTCACTGCACACATACGGCTTCTCTCCCGTGTGTGTCCGCTGGTGCCTGATGAGAGGGCTCTTCAAGGGGAAGCCTTTTCCACACTCGCTGCATGTATAGGGTTTCTCTCCGGTGTGAGTTCGCTGATGGATGACCAGACAGTGCTTCACGGAAAAGCCTTTCCCACACTCACTGCACGTGTACAGCTTCTCTTCTCTGTGGCTGTGCTGATGGGTGAGAAGGCTGTTCTTCAAGGTGAAACTTTTCCCACATTCACTGCATTTAAAGGGTTTCTCGCCTGTGTGCGTTCGATGATGTGCCGCAAGACGCCGCTTCTCAATGAAGCCCTTTCCACACTCGCTGCATATGTAAGGCTTCTCTCCTGTGTGCGTTTTCTGATGTGTGGTGAGACTGAACTTTGTGGAGAAGGCTTTCCCGCACAGATTGCACCCGTGGGGCTTCTCTCCTGTGTGAGTTCGCTGGTGATAAATGAGCCGGCACTTCTTGATGAAGGCTTTCCCACAGTCACTACAGGTGTAAGGCTTCTCTCCCAAGTGAGTTTTCTGATGTATGCTGAACTGCGACTTCGTGAAGGTCTTCTCACACTCGGTGCACTCATAATGCTTCGGTCCTGCATGCATTCTCTGCTGTTCAGGGAGCCTGGACTCCCTGGAGAAGGCTCTCCCACACAGGCTGCATCTGTGAGGTTTCTCTCCAGGATGACGTCTCTGATGATCGAAGAGCTGAGACGTCTTGATTGAGGCCTGCCCACATTCACTGCACACGTGGGCCTTCTCTGTGTTGTGAATTCTCTGTTGCTTAGTGGCCTGGGACGTATTGT